GGACAAGCGAAATGTTAGAATATGCGCCCAGAATAACAGCAATCGGTGCAACAGAAAAGGCAATAATAAATACACGACATTCATTCATCGTCACTCAGAAAACGAGGACTGCGATGAAGTTTGTCTTGGGTATCCCGAAGAATGAGAATAAGAAGTGTTCACATTAAGTCGTGGAGGGTGCGTTGCTAAACCTCACGGTTTCAAANGGTTTCAAAAGCAATAAGTTCTCACCCTCTGTTGTTTAGATAAGAGGTCTTCGACGCTTGTTTCAGGTTCACTAAGAAGTTTTACTGGGTCGGACAGAACTGTTTGCAAATCTGAGGAGCATGGCATGTTATCAGGTGTGGGGGATTCTGTACATGTCTCTGAGAAGGGGGTGGGTGGCGATGAACTTGGTCGTTCTACGGGAGCGAGATGTCGAAGAGATACTGTCTCTTCTCGTCCATTAGGTAGACGTATGTGAGCGTATTCCCGGTTGCTCTCCAGTAGTATAACTTCCTCTATCATGGGGTCATACTTGGAAGATCAGATGTTTCTTCGATACAGTACGGAACCAGGTGTTAATAACCACTGGGGTAAACCGATGCCAACCACAGATTTTCGATTGAGGAGAAACATACGCTCGTGGGGCGTCGCATTGATAGTCGTACAGAGTAATGATCTGATAGCATGGAGGGCATCAGGTAGCACCAACTCCCATTGATCAATCGCCAAATCCTTAGAACGGTGACACAGGGATAGGGTTTCCAGATGGTTCCATTCAGCCTTTCAACCTGGCCATTATCTTGCGGGTTATAGCTGGTCGTCCTGCTAGTAGCTACTCCTCAGTCGTGAAGGAACGTCTACAGTTCCTGAGACATGAAAGAGGCCCCTTGATCAGAGTGTAAATAGTGCGGCAGGCTAAATATGGAAAATAACTCAGTTAAACGAGAAATTATAGTGCGAGCAATCATGTCGGGACAGGAGAAGGCAAACGGAAAAAGGGAACACTCATCAATAATTGTCAAAATGTAGTGATTTCGAGTGGAAGAGGGAATCGGGCCTTTGAAACCAACACTGAGGCGTTCAAAAGGTTGTGTAGCCTTAACAAAGGGACTATTGCATGGTTTGTGAAACTTGGGTTTAAGGCGTGCACAAACAGGACATTGTTGAGTTGCCACCTTGACGTTATCGAGAGAAAAGGGTAAATTTTTTGTGCGGACAAAATGATCAAGACGCGTGATACCGGGGTGGCACAGACTGTCGTGAAGGCGCTTTAGTTCATCGACTGAGTGAGTGCTTGCGCAGACTGCTCATGATAAAGCATCGGCTGCAGGATTCTCCGAACCTGGACGGTATATCACATCATATGAGAATTGAGAGAGTTCGATACGCCAGCGCTGAATTATGTCGTTCTTGATTTTGCTGCTGACTTTCATATCGTACATGAAGGCGACGGAGCGTTGATCAGTAACCAATTTGAAGTGGGCACCCAGTAGGTCGTGTCGTCACTTTCGAATGGCTTCAATTATTGCGTAGGCTTCTGTTTCTACAGCCGAGTGATTTCACTCTGAGGGTGACAGAGTGCGTGAAAAAAGCCGCGGGACGATTACCTTGATTGAGTGTAGCAGAGATTGCTATGTCGGAGGCATCGGTCTCGACCACTAGTGGTAGGTCTTTATCAACTGCAAGCAGTGATGCCTGAATTAGCTCGGATTTCAATGATTCACAAGAGGAGAGTACTTCACTGGGAAGAGGGGAGATTTTGTTGATAATTAGCGGGCGAATCTTTTCCGAAAAATGGGAAAACCACTGGGAATAGTATGAGAACATTCCTACAACTCTCTGTTGTGTCTTCATATTCGAGGGAGGCAGTAGTTTGAGAAGGGCGTCGAAGCGTTCAGGTTCCGGCTTGACGCATTCTTTGGATATTTCGTAACCTAGTAGTCGAAATACTTTGGAGGTGAATACACACTTGTTGTTATTTGTGTTAAACCATATTTGGCAGCCACCTGCAGGAACCTTTTCAGATTTATGTCGTGGTCCGTGATTTCTTTTCCACAGACGATGATATTGTCTACATACACAAAGGTTCCTTTGAGCCCTTCACGTCGGACAAGCTCATCCATGGTGCGCTGAAAACAGGCGACGCCGTTGGTTACTCCAAACGGTATGCGATGAAAATGATAAAGATTATTGCATGCTTCGAAGGCTGTATAATATCGCTCATTTTGTTTTATTGGTATTTGGTGGTAGGCACTCTTTAAGTCTAGAGTGCTGTAAATACTGTATTCGGCAATTTTACCCACTAAGTCACCAATAGGGGGTAGCGAGTACGCATCCAACAGGGTGAACCGATTAATTGTTTGAATATAATCGACAACCATCCGTCGTTTCTGGCGTTCGTTGGTTGCAACCAGGACCTGGGACCGCCACGGCGATCGGGAAGGTTCGATTATATCATTCTTAAATAACCCAGCGACCTCAGAACGAATGAAAATCTCATCGTGGTAGCTGTGTTTTCTCGATTTTGTACAAATAGGACAGCAAGAGGGGTCCAAATGTGCGAAAAGGGAACTGGAAAACTAGCGGTTGAGAGACCACAGAGAGAAAACGGTGGCTGAATTCCTCGGAAGGGTATTGCTACTGACTTATGTCGTTGTAAAAAGTCGTCCTAATTGTACGTCAGCACATAAATCGGGGAGAACGGACAGTTTGACATTTTGATACAGAGTACCTTTATGTATCAGAGAGACAAAACAATAACCCCTGGTACAGCTTGTCATACGGGTGGAAGCCAGGACAATCTTACTATTAAATGTCAATGTCGACCATTTGTTCCGGATAACGATCTCCTCAGATACGTAACTTTCTGAGCTTCCTGTGTCTACCAGAGCTTTCAATGCCAATCCGTTGACTGTTACATCAGTTACAGCCTTATTAAGGCTCGCAGGGGCTGCGGCTGCACTGATGGAGGAGACGAGGAACGGTGAAGTAGCTGCGGTATGCTTTGAGTTGGCAGGAGCCCGGCAAACTTTCTCGAAATGTCCGCGTTTGCCACGTGACTTGCAAGTTGCATCTTTCGCAGGACACTTGTGACGAGGATGTCGATCATAACCACAAAAGAAGCAGCTTGTTCGAGACGCAGCCAACGGCGTCTTAGGTGTCTGATCCAGGTTCCTTGCAGCGGCAGCGTAGATTGAAAGAGTGGCGAATGTTTGAGACTGCTGTTGAGCTAGATCGAGAGCTTTGGCCTGGTCATAAGCGGTACTCACATCGAGTGTTTTCTTTTCAAGAAGCCGCTGACGAATAGGGTTTGATATTTGCCCGCTGATAAACGCGTCACGTATGGCGTCCTCCTCGTTTTGTTTTCCACTGACTGCTTTAAAATTGCAGTCTCGAACAACGTTTCTGAGCTTCTGCATGAATTGATCCAGAGTTTTATTGGTACTCTGTTTTGAGGTCGCCCGTATAGTTCACCAAGCTATCCGCATTAATAACACCTATGATGTGCAGATTTCTTCCTCTTGAACTGGTCATTGGTATCCGACACCTTTGACCTCTTGGTTAACGCCCATAATTTCTTGAACAATGTAGGTCGAAGTCGGTTTCATAAATCCAGATAATCTCATTTCCAAGTGCCTCCTACCATTGCAGGTGTTGGACATATCTAGGAAGAAATGACTCAAAACAGGTGGTTGCATTACCTTTTCCTCTT